TTGCAAAACTAGTAATTTAATTTTCCCCAAAAGGCAAACTTTCTAGGCCGTGACTCTTCCCTCCGTATACGATGCCGTCGCAAAATATGGATGGGAACTTCTTTCAAATTATTCGATACTAGCCGGCGTTTCCGATCGAGCCCAGAGCATGGGTTCAAAAAGATTCGCCAAAACACAACAGTAGTAACTTTCTCCAGCCAGATATCACTTGGTCCCCTCTTTTCAATGACCTACCCTCTCTTCCTTGATTATCTTTCTTCAAACGCACGCTGCCACTGTTCTTCTTTCCTGCTCTTCCTCCAATCCTGCAGCAGCGTCCCGTGTTGAAAATGTCTTCCTTCCACCGCTTGGCTCCGTAACACCGCATATTCTTCACAGCGAATAATGATCTTTACCGCCCTTTTCTACTTGACTTGAAGAAATGATCCGACAAGCTTTCACTTCCCTCGCTATAAGTAAACAGATCAATAAATTGTTAAAAGGGCCTAGTGAAACGCGGCAAAAAGTAGCCTATGTCCTGTGCCGTGGTTATCTGTAGGGGAGGAAATTTCAGCCTCATAGATCTACTTAAAATTTGTATTCGGAACAAAGACTCACACATACATATACACTTTTACTACGCTTTTATGCATACAGATTTACTTAATTGATATTTATTTGAATTCATTAATCACTTGTTTATTCAACAAAAAATTTCGAATTACCCAGTACGGTACCTAACTAGGCAGCAACGCCTTAAACATGCCCTTTTAAGGCTGTTACACAGTTTCATATAGGTCCACCGAAATCGTGCCGTTACTCGTGAAGTTTACGAAGATGGAGTAAAGAAGACAGCGCGTTACGCTGGCGAATTCACAGACGTAAACTACGAGCCGTGGATAGTTTTCGTCAATCATCTTCCTATCGAAGATAACGTAAGTGACCGATAATCTTTGACCGATTTGGTGACCACACTGCGCTAGTTGCAGAATATATTCGAAGAGATGAAGTGCACGCAACCTGCTCATCGTGGACATAGTCCTCAGTATGGCTATCTTCCCGAGGATGTTAGTTAAGCTTCTGTTTACAACACCTATTTCTCTCTTTTGTTTGAACCGCACTCCTTGAGTACTTCAAAGACTCTACGCAAGTGCGACAGTCCACTTTTTTGTTTCTATATCCCTGTCCTCCCATTGCTTTTTTGAAACCAAGTAGAAGGAAGAATCTAAACTGAAAGCGTTAAAGCTCGCGCCGTTTCTTGAATAGGTCAGCAAGGGTGTACAATAGAAGAATAACGACAGGCAAACAACTCGAACAATATCCTACACAGCTTTTCGTCTTTGCAACATTATTACCGAGTCAATTCTTTATATAACTCAAATAAACGAAGAATCTCGAACTCATTTCCAAGACTCTCATTACTTGCACCAGCTAATTTTTTACGAGTTATGCTTCTTCTGCGTTTCTTCAGCCAAGCAAAAATCAAAGAAAATTCATTCTATGAGG